CTTAGATTGATGAGGAAGCCCGACTTAGCCATACCGGATTAACTTGCTTTGCGTGTACAGGGAAATTCCAGCATAACTTAATTTATCACCACACCTACTTGATCAAATTAAGAGTTAATGATTAAAAATTAATTTTTTAATCGCGGTTACGACTAACTCTTTAGTCAGATTAAAATTAATCATGATTAACTGTAATCAGATTGAATTTAATCGAATTAACTAACTGATTAAACCATCAATCGATTAATCCCATCATTGATTTCAGATACATATCACTATACCAAGTTTCAGTTCTCTCCCACAAATACTTCCAGAGATATGTATGCAATATGAAAATTCCAATTTGTATGGGAGGGGCCTTGAGTTATCGGACTTACTTTCAGTAGCCTATTTTTCAATCCAGGTCATAAACCATCTTTGAGCAAAATTTCATTTTCAAACAGGTGGCAATTCTTAAAAACGTAGCCTACTTTCCAATCTAGGTCATAAGCTATCTGTGTGCAAACTTTCATGCAAATCAGTTCAGTCATTTACGCGTATTAATTTAATTAAACTTTTCTAATACGTGACAGCTCTTAAAAAAGCAGCCTATTTCCCAACATAGGTCATAAGCTATCTCTGCGCGAAATGTCATGCAAATCTGTTCAGTCCTTTCCGCGTATTAATTTAATTAAAACTTTTTTTAACAGGTGGCAAATCTTCCAAAAAATCAGCCTATTTTCCACTGTAGGTCATAAGCTATCTGCTTGCAAAATTTCATGTAAATCTGTTCAGACTATTCCGCGTATTAATTTAATTAAACTTTTTTAGCAGGTGGTAACTCTTAAAAAAATAAGGCAGTTTTTCAATCTACCTCATAAGCTATCTGTGTGAAAACTTCCATGCAAATCAGTTCACTCATTTCCACGTATTAATTAAATTAAACATTTCTAACAGGTGGCAACTCTTAAAAAAGTAGCCTAATTTCTAACCTAGGTGATAAGCTATCTGTGTGCAAAATTTCATGCAAATCTATTTAGTCGTTTTCGCGTATTAATTTGATTAAACTCTTTTAACAGGTGGCAACTCTTTCAAAAAATTAGCCTATTTTCCACTGTAGGTCATAAGCTATCTGCTTGCAAAATTTTATGCAAATCCATTCAGTCGTTTCCGCGTATTAGTTTAATGAAACTTTTTTAACAGGTGGCAACTCTTAAGAAAAGTAGCCTATTTTCGAATCTGGGTCAAAAGCTATCTGTGTGCAAATTTTCATCCAAATCTATTCAGTCGTTCCCGCATATTAAATAAATTAAACTTTTTTAACAGGTGGCAACTCTTAAAAAAATAGCCTATTAACCAATCTGGCCTATAAGCTATCTGCGTACCAAATTTCATGCAAATCCGTTCAGTCGTTTCCGCGTGATGATTTCCCAAACATCCAAACATACAAACTTTCACATTTATAATATTAGTAAGATATATGTATATGTATTAGGCCGGGTCGATTTGTGGGGAGGCAAAAAAA